CTGATCTTTATAATGGTATTTAATCCTGCCTGTTTTGGAAACATAGCATATAATACATTTACTGCAGAAAAATGTTTGTTCATCCACAGTCTGGACTATGCTAAGGATGATGTTGGTTGCAGTGCAACAGCATCAGTACTTCCTTTGTTAGTGTTACTTGTCCACCTCTTGTTGTCCAACGCAGCTGTCCCTTCTGATACCAAAATGATGTTCTTGCCATATATCAGCAGCTAGCTGACAGGAGCACATAGTCCTGTGGGTAAGTTTTACCAGGTGCTAGGTCACCAGTGGGGATTGTCATGCCTGAGGTTTGAAATCCTTGGCAAAGAAAATTCTTTGCAGCAATTCTGTGTGGCATTTCTCAGAGAATCAAACAATGAGTATATAGGTCTCAAAGGGAAAATACATCCTTGAGAAGACCAGTTTCTGTTGCAAACTTTATGAAATTCCGCATCTTCCTTGTTTATTGCAGGAGCTTGGAATTGCCCTCAGCTGTGCTACTCTTGCAGTCTCTCTGTTTCCTGGCTTGAATATTTTCTGCTGCTCTGAAATCATTGGTGCCAAAATGGGACACCGCTTTTTCTTGACAGAGAGCTTGCCAGTCTCTTTATAAGTAGGCCTGCATGCTGTGCCTTTCCTTCTTCCACTTCCTCCTTCCCCTCAGCCCCACACCCTGAGATCTCGCCGTTTACAACCCCAAAACCAAACCTTCCTTTAGCTGCCCGTCAGGGTTGCATTTTGGACTCTGTCCTTTATGTCCTCTCTTGTCTTCTCTCAGACTGGACCAGCTCAGGCAGTAAGAGCAAGCTTGTAGCTCTGCTCCAAGCTGTTAGTGTTGATGCACTTTTTTTTCTGTGACATGTTAGAGGGGCACCACAGTGGCTGGCAAAAATGTCTTACCGTAATCTTCCCTTTTACAGTAGCACTTAACATCTGAACATACTAAAACCTCTGCAGCAGGCCAGGGATGATAAAATATTTGATAATCAGTAGCTGAAATAGGGCTTTTCACTAGGCAGTCAGTACTAACTTTGTGACAGATGCTACCTATAAGTATTTTAGGAACTTCAGCTGTTTGCCTTGTCTCTAGTGTTGACCCGTGCTTTCCACAGGGCCAGAGGTCACATGGATTTAACTGGTACTGTGTGCAGCATTTGCATTTATTTCCACTGCTTAGCTGATGCAACTGGGAGACTATATCAGCAGCCTTGAGTAGTCCGTAAACACCACACTTCATCCTGATGCAGGATTTGAGCAGGACCTCCACAAAGCAGCTGCTGTTCTCAAGGTGGGAGTTAAAAAATGGATACAGGGAACAGAACTGGACTCCTACCAGCGGCTTCTGTCATAACTCTCTGTGAGACTTGGCTAAAAGCACATAGCTCCTGAGATAGTGTGCATCACAGGGCTCCTCCATCACTCCAGCTGCTGTGGCTAGAGGTTTCCAGATCTGTTTGGTTCAGTTGAAACCTATAGCTCCCTGATGAGTTTGCTGTGACTCTGTACAAGAGTATTAAAGAGCAAGATGGAGAGAGCATGAGGCAGTGTTCCTCAAGTACTGCGGTGGCTGAGTTTGCAAAGCCAATAGCTGCAGTAAGAGAATACTGACCTTTGCATTAGTCACTGTTGGATGTATCCTCAATATTTATTTCAGGCTCACCGCACAGAAAATGGCAGCTTTGTTCAGCAGATCTGCAGCCTGCTCAGTTTAGCTGCATTAGGACAGCAGACACAGCAAAGCTCTTTCCCCTCTTTTAGAAGTCATTTATTATTATTATGGAGGTAACATGATGTTCTGTCACTATTTTAGGCTGGATGTGGTCAGAGTTCATTAGCTGAAGTTTCCCAAAAGTAATTTTTCTCTTTTATGATTTGTGATGATTCAGTTAGAATTCCTAAACTTTCTTTTGTTTGTTTTTAAAGAAATGACCAGTTCAGATCTTTAGAAGAGATTATTCTGCACATGGATTTAGATACTTTTCATGGGGAAGAGGCTTGTAAGTCATTCTGTGATTAGGAATCTGAAGTTGTCTCTCTATCAAACCTTAAAAATTTACAAGAATGCCACAAAATATTCTTAACAGAATTGCAGCTGTTGTGTTTGGTTTTTTTTTCACATAAAGATGTGAACAGTATTGTGATTTCATCCCTAAATCTTGAAAAATTTCAAGCAGGAGGAAACCTGGATTACTTTGGTGAACATTTTACCACACTGTAGCTCACCAAACTCTGGAAACAGATGAACATCAAATGCTTCTAGAAGAAACTTTGAGGACATGAAAAGCTTTCCTTTGCTCAGGAAAACTGTCACCCTCACTGTGCTTTGATAGCTATGCCTTTGTCCCTAACTCATGCTTTGGTAATAGGGGGAAAATCATTAAATGCTTGCTGTGTCAGAAAGTGGGTCTGTTCTGTAACACCTTCTGTATAAATCAGATGTTTCTGCCTACAAATTTTCCTTTTAAAACTCAGCTTGACTATAGTTTTTCCCCATTTGAACTGATAAATGCAGAAATCTCCCTCCCACTGTGATTTCTCCCCAACTCTTTTATCAGCTTACTGTGGAACAAAATTATTATAAAAGGCAATAAAAGCAGAAAGGGCATCTCAATAATGCCCAAAGGAGAGGGAGAAAAACATCCCAAGTGCAGATGTGTTGTAAAGTGGGTGCCAAACCCCTTCAGTTCCTGTCTGTTCCAGGGTCCTGTATCTGAGAATGTGCCTGTGGTCACTTCTTCAGGGAAGGGTGCTGATGGCCACCTGAAAAGCTGCTCCTAATTCCCAAATATCAGTGCTTATACTGCATGTTGAAGTATGAAGTTTTGTATCACACCTAAAAAACCCGTGCTGATATGAAATATTTTATTTTGGACATTGTTACTGCAAATATGCATCTCTTTTTTAATGTGGTTAAATTCCTGGCATTGTAAACATATGATTGAGAATGACATTTTTCCTTTGTATAACTCTTCCCATTGTATTACTTGCCATGTAATATTGCTTCTTTTCAAAACATTGCTTACCTTTTAAATATCTTATTACTCCAAATCATTACTGTCCCAGTATGTGAACCTTGTCTCATTTTGCAATGTCTATTTTGAAGGCTGCTGGCTAGCCTGGATTTTGTTGTGGTCATTGATTACTTTGGTATTAAAAATAATAATTTATAAAAATAGTAAGTAATTTATTGTTTTTCATACCACTGTCCTTGCAAAAGGACACAAGGGGCATGGAAAAAGATTTTAAGCAAAGGTTAAGCTAAGATAGTGATTGAGCTGTTCACGTCAAGGGCAGCTCTTCATCCTGTGACATTGGATGTAGAGCACTGTAAGGCAGGTGAACAGTTCAGATTGCCACATGCAGTGTGCAGTAGCTTGTCTATAAGCACATTGGATGTTATGAGCCGTGAAGCTGAGTAGCTGCCTTTCAGATTCCTCACTCTTTCTTATTGGCAGAATGAAATAACTACTTGGTTACTTTCCAGTTTTGCTGCTTAACTGCTTGCACTTGTTCCCAGAACTGCTCTTAACTGTGTTACATTATCTTGGAGTATTTGGATGTTGCCATGATAAAAAACAATTATCTGTTCATTTTCTTTGTTGCTTTTCTTGGCTATTTTTTGATTCCAGATAGTAACTTAGAGTTGTCTACACCTTTGGGGGGAATAGTGGTTTAAATATATATATGTATGTGAGAATGAACGTTGCTCAGTCTTCCAAATGAGAGATAATTTTGGCCTGTGTGGACAATTGTGACTTTGCTGACCTATCTGCTCTGGTGCTCCTATAAAAATTACGTTGTCCAGTCTTTTCCTCTATCTTGGGCTTTCTCTATGCTCTCCCATAACATAAGTCACTCCCCCTTCAACCTCATCTTCCCTCATGTTCGCTCCGTCTCAGGCCGAGGCGGGGCATAGCTGTATTAAGTCTCCATCTCCCCTTACTAGGTGTGCTGAGGTGCAACTACCCTGTCACCCTTCTCCCTCTTCCCAGACAAAGTGTTTTGAGGGTCTGGGAGAGCAAGGAAGGGAGGAATAGCAGAGCAAGAGGAGTTAACAAGTCAGGATTGCTTATCATTGGAGGAAGGGTTAGTAGAGCTTTCTGTTGGCTTTTCCTATTTCCCTGTCCTCTTGAGTGAGACTGATGTGTGGGGTCGTTAGGGATTGCTGCCCAAACACAACTCACACTGGCTGCTTCCATTCGAGGCAACTGGCTGGCAAAGCAGGCAGGAGGGACATTCCCACAGACAGGACTGATATTCATGTGAGGCCAGAGGCTTTTCTGCATCACTTCAAGACTGGCTCCAGCCCCAGTCAAGAAATGAGAGTAGGCAAAGACAGGTTTCTTTGGAGTGGGTTGTGCATATTTTTTTTAAGCACTCTATCCTTAATTGCCTGAAAAATATTAATAATATAAGGAAATAACCACAGAGACATTCTTTTGAAATAAGGCCAGATGGAATAAATATTCTGTCTTTTGATTCAGATTCATCCTTCCAAAATTCAAGTGTATTCACTAATACAGAGCTATTTATTTTGTACTCAGGGACGCAAGTGTAAATAAGATCAATGACATAAGTAATGAGATCAAGCTGTTCTCTGGGCACTCCTGAACCATTTCCATTTGTCATCTGGAGATCTGTAGAAAAGGCTTTTCCCCTCTACCTTTTGCACCAGTTCTCATGGGTGACTTGCTTCTTTCTGCCACACACATCAATCCTTGTTGCAGGGAAAGAGGCAGGGGGAAAGGGCCAGCATGATGCCATCTCTCAGCGTGGGTAGGTTACTGGGATATTTTTCCATTTTTGTCTCTAAGGCTGGCAAATTGACCACTGAAATATGTAACTTGACTTGCAGCATTCCAGTTGTTACAGTTTTCCAGACTCTCTATTAAAGTAATTATAGAATCAGTTTTAGTTAAATCTTTAGGATTTAAAAACAAGCACACAGATTTTAATTTTTTCTCTTTTTTTTTTTTTCCCCAAACTTTTGAGGGAAAGAAAAGTTCCAGAAGTCACAGCATTGGGGTTTCTGCAATAATGTTGCTATGCTGGTTGCAGAAGATAAACCCGGGGTTGGAGGTGAACCGTTACCTGGTCAGAAACTGAAACCTAAATACAGTGTGTTTCCTGAAGGGATGGGAAATGATGCTCCTGCTTGGGTAGCATTTGACAAACAGGTATGTAGAAATCTGTATCTGTATGTTTTTTATGAATAGCTACATTATTACAAAGATGACATAAAGGTGACATTCAGTTAGTCAAATACTTCTAGATTAGATTATCTCGTGCATGCTAAAGCCCCTCCAGATAGACAAAAAGAGTTGTAACTTCTATTTTTCCATCATATTGGTACATTAAACAATTAATGTAAACATATATCATGCCATACAGCAGCATATAAAAGCATGTATGTATTGGGATACATCTCATACTGGATATAATAAAAATAATGAAGTGGTTTATATATTACTTTTTTGTGAAAACGGTGACATTAAAGGCAGTATTTGGCAGCCTGGTAAGCATGAGTAAGGCAGGCCCTAGTCCAGAAGAAACTGTGCATGGGCACTCAGGAATCATTAACGACAGTGGAGTGTTACAGGCTCAGAATTCACTTATGTTATCGTGTTTGTTTGCTCAAAGTCCTGTTAACTTTTGTTGGATCTATTAATGTGTTATATAGGTAGATTGTGTCTGTTTTAGACACAGGAATCTAAGATTAATTATTTTTTTTTTTGTAAGAATGTAGTGACACCTTTATAGTTAGAGAGTAATAAAGTAACTATAATCTGGGATGATATTAATTTTGTAGCACACTTTCATTATTTGCCATGTTTAAATTTACATTAAATTATACTTAGTGATGTTTTATTTCTTAAGCAAAAAGCCTACAATCAAAGAAGAAAAATTATCCAGAAAAAGAAATCATTCAGTAGATCACAGAAATGTTACATGACTAGATGATTATGGTATTTAAATATTGGGAAGAATGGCTAATCTCTTAATTTTTGCTTTAAAAGAAAAGCTGTGCAGGTAATTGTAGTACAATTATGCATTCAGTTCTTTGTCAGACCAGAACTGCTCCAAGAAAATGTAAAGCTTGAACAGATACATGTGACTTCAGTTAGCATTACCTCAGAAGTCCTTAGTATTGCTCACATAGTTTTCAGCAATGTGCTCCAGGATGAATTTTTCTGATGTGCTAGAGTATTAAGGCTTCAACCACTCATGCATTTGCTTTGTCTGCACCCGTATTTCATCAAGGTTTGTGTTGGCTTCTCAGGGCCATACATAAGTTAGCAGGACTTAGACCCAAGTTTAGGAAATAAAGGTATTAGGTAGGACCCAGAGGGGACCTGCCACTGAACATGGCTGATGAAATGAACCAGCTAGCCTTTCAACATTCCTTCTCTAATCAGTATATTCCTCCACAGGGCAATACAGGGCAGGACCCTGCGTGTTCAGAATTGGACTCAGGAGGCCTCACACATTTGTATTAATTGCAGTCAGTTAAAGGGTACTACCCAACTAATTTAGCTTTCCCAGTTAAGAGCCTAGAATGCAGCTATGTCCTCCGGTGCTGCACTTTGTGACTCAGCAAAATTAACTTAATGAAAACTGATTTGAGTAGGTGTTTATCTTTTCAATGTAGTCTGCTTTCTTACCTTTTTTCTTTGGTTTCTAAATTTCAGCAGTTCCATAGTAGTTGGAGGAAGGATGGGTGTAAAACTAAGAAGGTTAAAAAATAGTTTTTGCAATTCGATATGCCTAATAGGAAGCAGTTCTAAGTTTAATTTCTTCTACAATTAAGTACACACACAAAGTCTCCTGGACTTGGAACACATTTTTTAATTTGACTACCATAGATGCCAGGGAAACTTTGTGTCAATTTTACAAAATGCCACAGAGATTATTCTGTATTTGTTACTTTTAGTTTTCACATGTAACATTTAATTTTTTTTTAAAGAGTGGGGTGGGAACATTGCACAGGGCATGTATTAGATGAAACATGAGTTAGAAAGTGTTATATTTCAAGTACTTTTGAATTTAACTTTGCTTTAAAATGAAAAGTAAGTAACCTTCTTTACTGTTCCTTCCCATTCTCACCTTTTCTGAATCATCTGTTTTGATCGGCAAAATTGCAGTTGGCTGCTGCGTATTATTTCATACACTAACATGTTGATAAGGGTATAAAGATAATAAAGTTTAAGTGCAAAAGAACTTGGACAAACTCCTTGAATGGAGTAAACCAGGACGTGTGTGTTCAGTGAAAGAAATAATTACAGTGTATTTAGGACCTGATTGTGCAAATGAGCAATTTTGCCTGACTGGTGTCTCACAAGACAACCATTCTTAGAAAAGATAATTGACAAAATTAAGAACAACTAGTAAGCAAATAGGGCATGTGAACAATGTGTTTGTCAAACAACTATATTCTACTGGGACTAGGATAATAGGGAGAAGAGAGTACAGCATCTATGAAAGTTTCCAATGATTGCATGGCTTCTCAGCAGCTGGGCAGGGAATGAAATTCAGCTCCTTGTCTGCTGA